GTCAAGTCTTAACTGAGCAGACAGGGAGGTTAAGGCTCCAAATGTGATTGTAAAACTACAAGTCAACAAGTTATCCATCATGGAAATGAAATTTAAAAAAAAAAAAAAAAAAAAAAAAAAAAAAAAAAAAAAAAAAAAAAAAAAAATAGGAAAAGGTTTAAACAGCCATTCATTGTACAGTACTCAGGATTTAGTGTGTTACATATTCAGGGAGGGTTTATTTATTTAATGAAGGTTAGTTTGCTTTGCCAGTTGGTCTCTGCAAAAGATGAGCAAAAAGTCATTTTTGAAAAGCTGTGGTGAAAATGTGCTTGAGAACCGAGGCCCCCACCCCTAAGTCAGTGGAAAATTTGCTGAGTGTCTGTTTTGTCACTTCCTCCACAGGATCACATGTTCAGCCGCTGAGTAATCACTCTGCCGGTACAGGATTTTGACTTTCACAACTGTCCACAGACTTTGACACCAGGATAGAGATGGCGTCACAGCGCCGAATTCACTTAATTTAATGTTGAAGTGCAACGCTAATGAACACGTGATAATCCAGATGTTTCCATCCGACAGGAAATTGCACGGCACCTTCGTCCAACCACGCTGCGCGCCCTGTACGGCAAAGACAAAGTGAAAAACGCCGTCCACTGCACAGACCTCCCCGAAGACAGTGTTTTGGAGGTGGGTGGCGCATGCGCATGTTGTGCACTCCATACACTGAAACGACACCCATAATGTGTTAGCTGTACAGCTCCTCTCATTCTTTTCAGATAGACACGATGAAGAAACCCTGAGCCCCTGCATAAATAAGTACCTCACATTTAGCGAGAACAAAACCTTCCTGGACTCTAAGGCCATGTCCAGTCTCATGATTGCGCCCTGTGGGCCGGGGCAGCCTCAGATCACACTGGTTTTAGAAAAGCAAGAATGGCAGAGGAATTTGAAACAAAACCATTGTTTTGCAGGGAGTGGGCCTGACCCATCGTGCGTCATTGTTCAGGAAAACTCCTGATCTGTAGTCTGGACAAACGCCTCCTTGTTGAACATTAGCCTATGACTGACTGAGCTGCCATTTTCCCCTGACTGGAACAGTAGCAAAGAAAGGGCTTGTGCAGAGACATTTGAGGTGTCAGACAGTGTTAATTCATCAGCTGTTACTATAAATGTCCCTTAAATTCCTTTTCCAGGTGCAGTATTTCTTCAAGATTTTGGATGGATGAAAACCACGTTGAACTACACAGTCAAACACTTCCAGTTTTCTCATTTTTCTGTTTATTGTTCCAGCCTTATGCAGATTAAATAAAGTAACAAGAGCAGACTCCTGACAAGTGTTTTGATCTTCAACACTGAATTAAGTATTTTTTAACACCAACTAAAACGTATTACACGGGATACTGCATTGCCTCTGATGTTCTTGAACTTTTTGACCAGCGACTTTGGTATTAAATTCATACGTTACACTTTTGGAAAAAAAAAAAAAAAAGAAAAATTGTACAACTGCATAAATATAAAATTCGTCCACCATGAAAATGGCTAAAACATTCAATACCAAGTAGCATCACGTCACGTGATGTCTCCAGCAAACCAATTTTAGAGAACTGAGTCGCCACTGTTTCTGTGGAGGGGACTGTCTTCTAGGCTGGACCCACAAAGCGCTACACTAAGAATCAGAAAAAAAATAAAATTAAAAAAAATTGCATTAAAGTATCAAACATAAATGTAATCAAACCATATCTAACAGCTAAGGTGAACAAAACAGATGTGCCCCTCCTCCAATAACCGGGACGAAGAAGCGCAAACACAGAGCAGTTATTTACTCAGACGTGGGCCTTAAACATTCAGAGTACCATGCCAGTAATTCAGTTAGTCAGAGCACATGAACACACACTCCTGTAAACGCCTGCACATAGACACGAGCACACACGCGCGCACACACCTTGGACCACTAAAGCGGACATAAGACAAAGAGGTTACAGCTGGGACTAGACTACAGCACTGGACACTCCAAAAATATATAGAAACCACGTAAGGGTGAAGTATTTCGGGACAGAAAACAACTCTCTACACGTCAGTAGTGGAATTGCCGTTTTACAGTAAATGGATGAACGTTTCCCATGGCTCAAGGAATCTTTTCATGTACAGTAGAATAAATATTTGCTATTGCTACTTTTGTATTTTACATTCTAACCCTCGACGAACACACAGAAAAGCTAGTGTAAAGCACACGGATTAAGTGTAGGTCCTGTATATTATGAATGTTCAAAGACTAGTGGTGGTTTTTATCTGAACGGGTTTCTCTAAGTTGGATTCGTTTTCAAATTGAGTGCTCGCAGTAGCTCAGGTCACGACACGGTGAGCTTTATGTCAAAGCGTCCCTGGTAGCGGTCCTTCTCGCTGTAATCTATGTTGTCTCCGAATGCTTTGCACTCGATGCGGATCTCCTTTCCCTCCGTCACATTGACGAACTGAACGGCCATCAAGGGCTGCAGGTAGTCGGGGTGCAGCTGTTTGCCGTAATATGGGTAGTACTGCAGAGGAAAGCCTTGGCCTATCCCATAGTACTTTATCTCTCCGATCTGGCCTTCATCCTCAGCTCTCTGCAAACACAATACTTGAGTGAGACTTACAGCCGGTCCTTTTGAAGACAAATATTCATTCTCCCTGTATCTGTGAACTGGAAGGCCACAGCCACATGCTCTCGCAAACGTACCTTAAGCTTGCAGTAAATGGGGATCTCGTTAGAGCTAACTTTCACCGGCAGTTCTAGTAATGAGTTGTTTGAAGGAGCCTAAAGAAAGAACAAACAAGCAATAACTGGTTTAAATTAAACTTTCACTTATTGGTGCCTACATTAACCACAATGCAACTTCAAGCTCCAGCTTCTCAAAAGTTTTTTCCATTTTCAAACATAATGGAAAAAGCTTCATGGATGGTTCACATGTCTGTAAGGTTTCCTAAGTTGGAAATGCACTCCCTGTAATTTTTTTGGGGGGGGTATTTGCTTTTCTGTTTGTGGATTTGGGTTTTCTGTTTGCTCTGACCCCTTAGCTCCCCTGACACCACACATCTGACCTTTGAGACAAATGATCGCCAACTCTACTCTGTGA